GTTCTTAGTGGGAAGGGAGTGTGAACATCTAATTAGGGTCTTATAGTGACAGAAGTGCCAGTCAGGAAAGGACAGGTCTACCACAGGGGCTTGTCTTCTATGGGGATATATATCAGACCCTTTCAACTTTTACCCAAATACCCTGTTACAAGTCTACGATTGAGTCTTGTTCCTAAAATCACTGCTGTTGAAAGCTAGTTGCAGGAGCTGTAGTGAGAGGCATCCAGTGAAATAATTTGTTCCGTAATAGGAACTGCTTAGTAGTGAACCTCAGATCAGCGGAAAATATCTCCAGGGAAAGTATCTTGAGTATTGTTATATGGTCTACCAGTATCTTAGTTGGGGTTTCTGTTGCTGTGTTGCAACAAAATGCAACTTGGAGAGGAAAGGATTTATTTGGCTTATGCTTCATCGTTGCTGGTCATCATGGAAGGAATTCAGGACAGGAACTCAAACAGGGCAGGAACCTGGAGGCAGGAGTTGAGGCAGAGGCCATGGAGGACTTACTGACTTGCTCTTCATGGCTTGCTCAGCCTGCTCTTATAGAACTTAGGACCACCTGCCCAGGGGTAACACCTCCCACAATGGGCTGGGTCTTTCCCTATCAGTCACCAGTTAAGAAATGTCCTATAGTCTTACCTACAGCCTGATCTTATGGAGGCATTTTCTCAGTTGAGATTTCTTCCCTTCAGATAATTCTAGCTTGCATCAAGTTGACATAAAACTACCCAGCACAACCAGTGATTCTCTAGCTTAGGTTGTACTCAGGGAGCCTGGAAAAATGGCTCGGTGGTTAAGGGTGCATACTGGCCAGGTGGTGGTGCCACACACCTTTAGTCCCAGCATTTGGGAAGCAGAGGCAGATGGCCTCAGTGAGTTCGAGGCCGATCTGGTCTATAGAGATAGTTCCAGGATGGCCAAGGCTACCCAGAGAAACCCTGTCTTGGAAAGACTAACAAAAAAGAGTGCATACTGCTCTTGGAGAGGGTCTAAGTTTAGTTGGCAGCATCCATGTTGGGCTCCAGCTGGAGAGGATCCAATGTTCTCCTGGACACAGGAGGCACCCACACTCACAAATGCACATTCTCCCCCCACAGTTAAAAAAGTAAGTAAACTTTTTTCAATAATGAAATTGCTCCTGGCTGTAAGTCCTTGTTATGACTGGTGGATGACTGCAGCTCAAAAACATAGTATGTCTGCTTCTTCCTAGCATGCTTAGCCCCTGCGCTGTGGGACTCTCTTGAAGACACAGTTTATTGACTCCTTCATATGGGCCTTCACCTCTCTCCACTCAAGCATTCTCCGAATGGCTCCAACAGCTTTCTCATGCTTAACATAGGAAATATCTGTTCATCACTATTCATACGACAACACTTATACTGGAAACACACCATACAGCAACACTTACACTGGAAATACACCATACAGCAACACTTACACTGGAAACACACCATACAGCAACACTTACACTGGAAGCACACCATACAGCAACACTTACACTGGACACACCATACAGCAACACTTACACTGGAAGCACACCATACAGCAACACTTACACTGGACACACCATACAGCAACACTTACACTGGAAACACACCATACAGCAACACTTACACTGGAAGCACACCATACAGCAACACTTACACTGGACACACCATACAGCAACACTTACACTGGAAATACACCATACAGCAACACTTACACTGGAAACACACCATACAGCAACACTTACACTGGAAACACACCATACAGCAACACTTACACTGGAAACACACCATACAGCAACACTTACACTGGAAGCACACCATACAGCAACACTTACACTGGAAACACACCATACAGCAACACTTACACTGGAAACACACCATACAGCAACACTTACACTGGACACACCATACAGCAACACTTACACTGGAAGCACACCATACAGCAACACTTATGTACTGGAAACACCACCAACTGTATACTCTTGTTCCTGTGCTTTGAGCAGCCTCTTCAAGAATGATGGGCTCATTGTGGCTCAGGTCCAGCAGGGGTCCCAGCGAGGGTAGACACATACATGCCTAGGAACTTATAGAAAGCCGGTTCTAACCTGATTTGTGATTCCTTTACTCCTGCAAGTGTCATGGTTTGAATTTTTTCCTGTGTTCCATACACGGATCTCAGTCCCATTCTCCCTCTCCTCGACTCTTAACCCTACAGGTAGAGCAGATCACAGAAAACCAACAGCCCAGGAGGGTGGAGCTTCCCTCACTGATGCTGCGGAGGGTGGAGCCCTGACTCCTTCCTCTTACAGGTGACTTGAGACAATGTATGGCAGATAAAGCATAGGATGCCATGGTTGGCTTGATAAGTATCTGATAATCTCATCGGCTACCATCTAAATTCTAATTCCTTTAGAGAGACAAGTCTTAAAACTGACCATTTCCTGTCAATGAAAGTGACAATATCTAAAAGTCTTAATAGAGTAAAGCCAGGATGGCTGGACCATTCCAGGGGGCCATTTGTAGCCCCCCCCCCCCCCCCCGCCCAGACTCATTGCTGTGGTACAGAGGCTGGTGTGTTGTTTGGAGTCATGCTATATAATCTGGAGGGGTTTTTTTTTGTTTGTTTGTTTGGTTTTGGTTTTTGGCTTTTTTTTTTTTTTTTTTTTTAAACAAACTGTGTCCGGTTGTCTTTATGTGTTGACCCTTTGCTTGGAGCTCTGACTTTCTTTTTTCACTTAGCAGTCAGGAATTAGCTCAAAGGTTAAGCTTTTCCCACCCTGGACTGGTCTAGGGATTTATTCTTTGTACGCGAGAATGTCTGTTGTGGCATATCTCTGTATCCAATCCTAGGTGTTTTTGTTTGTTTGTTTGTTTGTTTTGTTCTTTCTGACTTCTCACTTCTATCTTTTGCATTGTTTTCCAGTTTCTGGAGCTGGGCATTTATATATACCACTAAACCCATCTAAGACTTCATTTTCTTCACTTGACAAGTTGTGTTCATACTTGCCCACATCCTTGCAGGGATTCAGAATGATGTTGTAAAATGCTATACTCCGGGCACATCAAAGTATCATGAAAGATACCAGGCATGGTGGTGTACACCTTTAGCGCCAGCACTCAGGAGGCAGAGGCAAGAAGATTCCTTATTTCGAGTCTTACCTGGTCTATAGAGCAAGTTCCGAAAACTCAGGGCTACACAGAGAAACCCTGTCTTGGAAAATAAACAAGCTAAAAACAAAGTATGATAGGTTTGGCAGGGGGGCACAGTGTCAGAGTACTTGCCTGGCATGTGCAAAACCTTAGGTTCAGTCTCTAGCATTGCATGAAAATATGAAGGAAAACAAGTATCTAGTGTGCTGGCACATGCTTTCTAATCCTAGCACCCAGAAGACTGGGACAGGATAGGAAATTTAAAGCAGCCTGTGTCCTGCAGCAAGGCCCTTTAAACAAACAAGATACCCTGATAAATACATACCGAGTTGCTAATTATCATCGTTATCATTCTGCCTTTACAAACATTTTAAACTCAGATTTATTTTAATTTATATGTGTGAGTGCTTTGCCTGGATGTATGTGGATGTTTGTACTATGTGCATGCCTGGCGCCCATGGAGGCAAGAAGGGGGTGTTGGGTCCCCTGGAACTGGAGATTAGAGATGGTTATTAGCCACCATGTGGGTGCTGGAACTGATTCCAGGTCCTATGCTAGAGTGACAAGTGCTCTTAGCCACTAAGAAACCCTTCCAGGTCCATCATCATCACCACCGTTTAATTAAGACGGCCTTTGTTGTAGCTGCACACTACTGAAGAACATTACAGGACATCTGAGGTTGGTGTGGCAAGTGCAAGTAGAGCTTTCCTTCTGGGTGTGCATAGCTCATGCTTCCTTGTCCTTACTTATTCTTGGAAGGGCTGAACGCTGAGTGCTTTTGCCTGGTTTTGATGGTGGATCTATAGACTAATTCTTCCATTATGCTCTGTGCTCCACATTGCCTGACCTATTGGCAATAAGAATTGTTTCTATGGGACTGGAGAGATGGCTCAGTGGTTAAGAGTATGGACTGGTCTTCTGGAGGTCCTGAGTTCAATTCCCAGCAACCTCATGGTGGCTCACAACCATCTACAATGAAATCTGGTGCTAACACTGTATACATAATAATATGTAATAAATAAATCAATTAATAAATAAACTTTTAAAAAGAAAGAATTGTTTCTGTGAACTTGCTATGTTGGAAGACCCTGAAGTTCTCATAGCGAGTACGCTGCTCTGCCCTGATGACCCATCTATCCCATGGAACTTTACCCACCGAGCTAGACAGAGGCCTCTGTGAAGGTCCTACTTTTACTAAACTGCAGTCAGAAATGTGTATTAACCTAGTGGACATTTAAAGAAATCTTTTGTAGGAGCAAAAATCCATGTTAAGTAGATACTCATATTAAAGCTAAATATCTGTGACAAAGTTGTCTAAAAACAGAAAGATTCTGTTTAGGAGAGTCTCTTCTAAGGCACATTCATTAACAATGACAGAGTCTGTCATGGTGGTGCATGCTGGTAATCCTTGCCCTCAGGAGGCTGAGACAGGAGGATTAGAAGCTCCAGGCCAAGGCTAAGCTACATAGCGAGACTTTGTTTTAAAACAGTAAATTGCTGGGGTCATTGAATACTTATTTAAGCTCTTAAAGACTCCATTTGACTCTGTGACAACTTGTGAGACTAATAGTGTTATTTGCTCCACAGAGGAAGGATTAGAGGCCTAGAGCAATGTACTGGTTTGCTCATGGAATCACAGGTAGGGAATGATGTAAGGACACTTTAAACCAGATGCGCCTGGCTCCAGACTCTCTGCTTTTAGCTAGCAGGCTTTGTAACTTTCCTTTATGTTAGTGTGTATAGTTCATCAGTCTTCCTGTGGGTTGAAGATGATGTGGGGTGTCTGGAAAAACCTTGGTAGCTATTTTGATGAGGTAGTAGCTGTTATTTCTTATGTAGATTCTGTCTTCATCCTCTCCCCAGCTATGGAGTACTGCTTTGGGAGCTGCTGACTGGCGAGGTACCCTTCCGAGGCATTGATGGCTTAGCAGTGGCTTATGGAGTGGCCATGAACAAACTTGCCCTTCCTATTCCTTCCACATGTCCAGAACCTTTTGCCAAACTCATGGAAGGTGAGTAACTCCGGGCCTGAGGAAAACCGGTGGCTGTGCACTTTTACATAGCACTCAGTCGACATTTCCTAATGTCACTGCAGAAAGAAGAGATGAAATATTAGCCACTGAGGGGGAAGAGTTGGGAAAGCTCTTTCTAGACAGTGGCCACACCCTGCCAAAGCAGGTTCCTTTCTGCAGTGACTATAGAAATTAGTAACTAAAACCTGCTATCTTGTGTTCACAGTGTCTTATTGTGTAATACAAAATAAGCTACTTATCTTGTGTGTAGAACTGAATGAAGGTCATCTGGGAAGAAAGGGGCTCTAAAGTCAACCGAGTCGGAAACATAATTTTGTGAGAAATGCAAAGCTAAGCAAAGTGAAGAGGGAGAGAGCCTACTGTGTTGGTGCCAGGCAGCCACTGGGTAGAATTTATCCTTCCTGACACCTTGACGCTTTTCTTGGGTGGCTTGTGTGTGGGGGGGGGTGGAGGGTGGCATTGGGGCATAGCCACCACTGGTGTACTTGTAAGTGGTACGCTGGAAGCAGGGTGAGGCACCAGAAGCTTTGTTCTTACCTTCCTTGCATGTACTCAGCAAAGTGTACAGGATAGTACCGTTTGACTTCCAATTTCCCCTCTTCCATTCAGACTGCTGGAACCCTGACCCCCACTCACGTCCGTCTTTTACGAGTATCCTGGACCAGCTCACGACCATAGAAGAGTCTGGTTTCTTTGAGATGCCCAAGGACTCCTTCCACTGCCTGCAGGATGACTGGAAACATGAGATTCAGGAAATGTTTGACCAGCTCAGGGCCAAAGAAAAGGTAGAAAGGAGGAAAAGGCATGCTTTGTCTTAGCTGAGATGTTTCATGGGGGTTCTGGACTCAGTGTGCCCCACCACTGACAACCAATACCTTCCTCCTTGGGGTCTGCTTGCTTGTCTGCAGCACAGGAGAAGCTGTGGGAAGCTTCCAGCAAGTGTTTCCTGCTGCTCCCCAAACTGGACAGTTCTAGAAGGGTGTTCAGGTTCCACAGGGGACTTATAGAGGGAGGACTGTGTCATAGAGAGGTATGTCAGCACTGCGAGTTGCTACCAGAACATCTTCCTGTTTTCTTTCAGAGTTGGTTAGAAACAGGAGAGGAGCCTGAAACTGGCACTTTGATGTTTTTATGGAGAAGGTCCCAAGCTGAAGTCATCTGGGGGACTTTGGCACCTCTTGGCTTGCTGGAGTCTGCTTCTGGGTGTGCAGTCACTCTTCCAGTGGCCCTCTCTTTTTCTGTGGCATGACCCTAGCCACACAGTTCACACAGGTGACACTGATTGTGTGCAATTGTATGCCCTGTGCTGTCTGGGCAGGGCTAAATCCAGAGGCCTGAGGGGCGGTTATATAGTCTTGGTTAATTTTCTTTTTTTCTTCTCACTGTATGTACTGTGGAAATTTGGGGGAGTTAATAGTAGCGTGATAGCTAGGCATGTTGGCACATGCCTGTAATCTCAGCTCTCAAGAGGCTGAGGAAGGAGGGTTGTAAGTTTGAGACCAAACTAGAGGATATCATAAGTTCTGGGCCAGCCAGGGCTATAAAGTAGTTTACAGGCTTGCCTGGGCTACTGTGTAAAACCCTGTCTTGGGGGGATTAAATAAGTAGCAATGTGATAATATAGAATCTAATTTTGTTTCTGTTTCCACTTGAAAAGTTTCATGAGACCTCTTTATCCTGCTCATTAGTATAATAATATGTGGGGGTGGGGGTGATTGTTTCCATCTCACAGCTGAAGGCCAGTGGCTTCCACTTTTGTGGAGCTGGTAAGTGAAGAAGTGAGTCCTTGAACCTGGGCCACCTGACTCTAAGCCCTGTGTTCTTTGCAGTACCATTGCTATCCCTGGATCTGATTCAGAGAGATTAGTCTCCTTCACATCACAGTGATCCTAAGCATGGCACAGCTTGACAGGTCATTAATGTGCACTAGTGGCTGGAGGGAGCTAACGGCAAATCATCAGGGGTCCCTCCGGGTGAGCCATTGACGGAACTCCTATCACTACTACTTGTCCCTTGCTAGGAGAACCTCCACAGGGGCTGGCTTTTGTTAAGGTTGCTAAATCACCAACTCATGGCCACCTCTATTTGCTTTGGATTGATAACTATAATTTATAAATTACACAAGCCAGTAGGAAAAATGAAAATTGGATATTTTCAATAAGCAGTTACAATGATCCTCCCCACCCCACTCTCCCATCCATGGTTTTGCTCTCTGTGGCTTAATTTAACCACCGTCAACCACGGTCCACAAACATTAAATGGAACATTCCAGAAGTAAGCAGTTTGATGTTTTAAGTTGCATGCTATTCTAAGCATCATGCCCAGTCTTATTCTGCCCTTGTTGGGAATGGTCAGCCTCCTGACCCTGCACACACTACTCAGGCTCGATAGTATATTGATCTTGGGCTTCTTGTCAGCTATTGTGATCTGGCAATTTTGAGTTCAGACAACCCTGATTTTATTTAATAATGATTCCAAAAGACAAGAGTAATAATGATTTTAGTGTAATATATTGTTACCATTATATTGTATTATTAGTTGTTAATCTCTTACAATGCCCAATGTATAGGTTGAATTTTACAATGGAGGTATTTTAGTGGAAGACACATAGTACCTATAGAGTTGAGATGAATCCGTGTTTTTCATCATTCCCTGTGGCCTTGGACACACTCCCCCAGGATAAGGAGGCACTACAGAGTGAGGAAGGGTCAGCCCCTGTCTCCAGGCTTGCTCTAGACATTAGCCTCTCTAGCTGTGTTCACGATGTGGCTCTATTGCACTCTGCTTACCCAAGGCTTGCATGTGTTCACTCCAGCCAGCTGCCGAGTATCCTCTCTCTCCTGGGTACCATGGGAGACCTCTCTAGGTTGTCTCATCCCAGATGCTTCCTGAACTGAAACCCACTCTTCTCTGCCGGTTCCCCGTGTCTGTAGGAGCTCCGCACCTGGGAGGAGGAGCTGACCCGGGCTGCACTCCAGCAGAAGAACCAGGAGGAGCTGCTGCGCCGTAGGGAGCAGGAACTGGCGGAGCGGGAGATTGACATCCTGGAACGAGAGCTCAACATCATCATTCACCAGCTGTGCCAGGAAAAGCCCAGGGTGAAGAAACGCAAGGGCAAGTTCAGGAAGAGCCGACTGAAGCTCAAGGATGGCAACCGCATCAGCCTCCCCTCCGGTCGGTGGCAGAAAGAGAGCGAGTGTGCGGTGGGGGGGTCTGGTGTAGCGGGGGTTTGTGGGAGTTAGGCTGGGTAGGGTGGGGGGTCTGGTATAGCGGGGGTTTGTGGGAGTTAGCCTGAGTGGGGGGTCTGGTGTAGGGGGGGTTTGTGGGAGTTAGCCTGAGTGGGGGGGTCTGGTGTAGGGGGGGGTTGTGGGAGTTAGCCTGAGTGGGGGGGGGTCTGGTGTAGCGGGGGTTTGTGGGAGTTAGCCTGAGTGGGGGGGTCTGGTGTAGCTCGGGGGGGGGTTGTGGGAGTTAAGCTGGGTGGGGGCTTTGGTGTAGCGGGGGTTTGTGGGAGTTAGGCTGTGCTTGGAAGCACAGACCATGACTCTGAAAGTGAAGCCTGTTGGAAGAGGCCATCTTGCTCAGTGGATTTCAGGCACTCTGGGGCACTGTTCTTTGTGAGTGAGGGCAGAGAAGATAGTGATGACAAGTCCACTAGGGCCCACTGTAGGCAGAGGCTGGCGAAGGATGAGGGGATTCTGGGATGTTCACATGGGAGAAATCTTAACACTGCAAAGTTTTTCATCTCAAGTTTCTTTAAATAATTAGCCCTTGGTGCATTCAACGTTAGGCTAAAATGTAAAAGTTCATATTATAACATTTATATATAGCTTCTCATAACTATATTGGCTCCATAAAGGTACAGTTTTTGTACGGTTACCTGAGGGAAAATGCAAAGAAATAGGAAACTGTAAATCAGAATCTTGATGGAGTATAATGTAAAGGGTGCAGGTGAGTCTTTCTACAGATTAAAAACTGTTCTTGGTGTTCTGAGTCTGTAAGTCCTTGGGTAGCAAGTTTATTAGAAGTGTTAGGAAGCAGCCGGGTGGTGGTGGCACACACCTTTAATCCCAGCACTCAGGAGACAGAGGCAGGTAGATCTTTGTGAGTTTGAGGCCAGCCTGGTCTACAGATCGAGTTACTGGACAGGTCCACAGCTACAGAAAAATCCTGTGTCAAAAAAAAAAAAAAAAAAAAAAAAAAAGAAAGAAAGAAAAAGAAAAAAGTGTAAGGAAGCAATAATAATAATAATAATAATAATAATAATAGCATAGTCAGAGGAGCTATGGGTGATGTTTAAGCTTTGGGATGATGGCTTAAGCACAGACTAGGGATTAAGTCATCAAATTGAGAGAATATGCTAATGGGAACATATACTGCTTCCTTGCCACACATGATTTGTTTTTATTGTTGTTGTGGTTTTATTTTTGCAAGTATTTAGCTACCTCTGAAGCCTCTCGGCTAGTGCTATCCACTAGCAATGCAGATATGAAGCTTCTGTTCCCATCTGTGGGGAGAGTTTAGTCTAGTGGGGAGACCCCAGTGCCTCTGTGTTAAATGAGGAGGCCGAAACCCAGAACTTAAGAGCTGAAAGTGCATCAGAACTACCTTCAAGGTGTGTGTGAATTGGGGTCATTTCCCCATTTCTGATGAATTCCGTGGCCTGGGTCTTAACCACTGAGCCATCTCTCCAGCCACACCATAGGCTGGGTCTTAATACTCCACTCAGCCTGCACTTTGGGAGCAGCATCAAAAAGGACATGGATGGTGACATCATCTGAAGCATAATTTCAAGTAACATTTTCTAGAATAATCCACAAGGCGACATGCCATGAGAAGCAACTCTACCTATATCCATTACATAGAGGCTTCATGAAGACTACCATCTTCATAAAGATGTGTGTTCATCTTGTCATGTGTTCCTTTGGGAAAAAAGAAGGCTCTGAAAGAAAACATTTCCCGGATAAATGAAGCTTTTCAGGAAACCAAGGCCTATCCCTCAGGCCTGCCAGGAGTCAACAGATGTCTTGCATACATTTGCCTGTGTGACAGTCCTAACGCACACACTTGTCTCTCCCTAAGCAGATTTCCAGCACAAGTTCACGGTGCAGGCCTCCCCCACCATGGATAAAAGGAAGAGTCTCCTCAGCAGCCGCTCGAGCCCTCCTGCAAGCCCCACCATCATCCCCCGCCTGCGAGCCATCCAGTGTGAGACAGGTTTTCAGAACACACCAGGGACACTTGTCCCCCTCTCCACTCAGCCCCTGACTAATTCAGGCTTGTTCCAGCCATAACTCCTGACACCTTCCTCAACAGTGTGTACATACCTGCATGCATACTTACAGACCCTCAGCCTTCCTGCTCTTTGTCCCTTGTTAACTTCAATGCTCTGTCCTCCACCTTCAGCAGTCAGATGTCAGCACAGGGGCTTGTGGGTAGAGGAAGCGCTTTAGTGAGTTGCAAAGCAGCTTGGACTGGAATGATAGAGAAAGATTGGTGCCCACCATGAGGGACCTCCACATTGTCTGCCCGTACTTCCCAAGCTGAGACTTTCCAAAGCCTACGTCCTGTGAAAGCTTATTAAGGCTTTAGCATGTGCCAAGCCCAGACTGGTTTTATTTTTACTATAGTGAAGTGTTTGCTTAGAAATAAGTATGGGGGGGGTGGAGGGGTCTGTCTGCCAGTTTTGAAGAGACTTACCTTACTCAACCTTTCTTATTTGCAGTAACACCAGGTGAAAGTAGTAAAACCTGGGGCCGGAGCTCAGTTGTCCCAAGAGAGGGAGGGGAGGAGGAGGAGAAGAGGGTCCCAAAGAAGAAGGGCCGGACGTGGGGACCAGGAACACTTGGGCAGAAAGAGCTCACCTCGGGAGATGAAGGGTAAGAGCCAGCTGATGTGACTTTCTCTCTCACTTAAAGACTGGCACAGCATTTTAAAATATGATAGGAGACACTTTCGTTTCTCGCTTGTGTATTCTAATACGTCCTGGGAACGCATAGCGGTTTTGTTTTCCTCTTTTTAAAGACAGACTAGCCCAAGCTATCCTCAAGCTCTCCATCCTCCTTCCTGCACTTCCTGGGTGCTGGAATTACAAATGTGCACTACCATGAACCTCTTCCTGACCTAGAGTTTTCCAGTCTTCTAGACTAGATCCTTGGGTCCTTCACAGAGCAGGAATTGTCAAGCTCTTTCCACAAAAGGCCAGATAACATTTGAGGCTTCTGGGTCTGCACGGTGACTGAGATGATTCATATGAATGAGTCCACGTGGCTATTCTCCAGGCAGACCTTCCTTAGGAAGACAAGACAGGCAGGGTTGTTGGATTCAGTCTGCTGGTCTACTGCCCCCTGCAGGTGTTCTTTCAAAGCAGCAATTAGCAGATAGGAAGGGCATGTAGGAAGCTGGGCTAAGTGGTCTACTTCATGGGTCTTCCCTATGAAACTCCCATTCAGAGGAAAGGGAGGAGAATCAGGGTGAGCAGGCCTTCCTCCTGTTAATCTGTTTGACATTGGCAGGCACCATCGCTCCACCCACTTGACTGTGCTAGAATAGTCTCTGGGGCCGCTGGCCTTCTTTCCTGCTTCCCCCCCTTTCAAGCAAAGGTCTTTGTGCCTTAAATGCGCTGTGTACTCACTTGCAAGCTTGAGGCTGGGGAGGCAAATCCTCTGTGTCATGTTTTCACAGGCCAGGAAGGCCTCTGGCCATGAGACTCAGTTCCACATCTAACTGTGGGAGCTCATGTTTTCTCCCCTACAGAATGGGCATTAGACTGGTCCCCAGCTTGTGGGGTGGATGTCAGGGTCCTTTGTGAAGTGGTTTGTGGTGAACCCACATCGTTATCAGCTGTGATGATGGCTTCCCTGCCTTTTATGCCATGTACTCAATACCCAAAGTGTGGACATCATGGTTTGTATTTATTCTAGCATTTATTCTAGAACCCCTGGCTGTTCTAAGTGTGAGGAGAGTAGTCCTGTCAGTTTTCAGTGACTTCCCATTGGTCACTGAACGGGGCCTCCAAACTTGTCAAACTGGGTTTGGTAATCTTTTGAAGACTAACATTTCATGTTCTAACTCTTCCTCTATCTGAGCTCAAGGAGGAAACAAAATAGCAATTTGATTTATAAAGAACTAACTCTGTCAAGTGAGGCTTTGAAACCACAAAGTTCCTTTGAACAGAAAAGGTACACTTGTAGGACACGCCTATGCTGTGTGTGAATGCAGAATTTAGGGCCTCAGAGATCAGGTCAGCAAATCTACGGGACTCAGGAGGAGGGTGGGAACCTTGCAGTCTGTCCTTCATGGCCTGGCTCAGAGAAACTCAGTCACCCTGAATCATTTGCTGTTTCTGACATTAGTCTAATTCTGAGGTTAACCAGACTAGCTATGAATTCCAACTAATTTTTCAGTGAACATACAGAGTAGTGGGTTTCACTGTAGCATTTTCATACATATAGATCATTATAGTTTTCTTACTCCCCCAGCACCTTCCCCTGAGCCTGTCTTGCAGATCCCTTCCTCTCCTCAGATAGGATTCTAGTGGTTTTTCTGGTTCTGCTTCGCTTAAATTTTTTTTTCTTAATAGTAAATTACTTCTTTTTGCACTACACAGTGCTGATTTTGCACTTCTCTTTCTCCTTACGTAGATTTGTCCTTGCAGACTTTTGAGACAATTATGAAGCATGTGCCTTGATTTTTCATTATTCTCCATTCTTATTAAAGAAATGAAAGTGTATTCTAAACAAACTTGAGTCTAGATCTATTTGATATCAGAAACGTGCGAGATCTTTCCATGATAGTATTTCTAATTTTAGTGCCTGTTGACTGAAGAAAATTTACAATGGCAAAAACCTTGAATTCAGTAAAGTGAATTCCGATCTCCCCTTTCTATCCACAGTAGGAAAGAATGCTTCACTGTAGGCAGCTTGGGTAGTTTTGATTCATAGCCCCTTCCAGTTACCCTCTGACTATCCAGGACCTTTGTCTCTTACAGTGGAAGGACCTAGGCCTGAAATAACTCCAATATGTCAGTCTTGTCCTGGGGTGGGTTTACTGACTGGACCAGCCACCCACCTAACTGGTCCAGCCTGGGCAGTCTGAGTGTGGGAGGGGGTGAGCTGACGGTGGTCTCCACTGCCTATTGCTGATTCTCATTATTCATTGAAGATCCCCTCAGAGACGGGAAAAATCTAATGGCTTAAGCACCCCTTCCGAGTCTCCACATTTCCACTTGGGGTGAGTCTGGTCTCCACCCATGCACAAGCTGTATTGGTAGCAACTGCTCTTCCATTTCCTTGTTCTCATTCCTCATTGCTGCAAGGGATGAGCTGACGTGTTTTTAAGAGCAGTACCTTTGTGCACCTTGGGAAAATTTCTCTGTTGACCCACCCCAGTTGCTGGGGTGCTCTTTGCATAGGTTTCTAGAGAAGACCACTTGGCACTGGTTTTCATTTGCTAATCTGGGTGTCCTTGAGCCCCTCGTACTAGAGGAAATGTTTAACATTGCAGTTAGGAGTCCCAGGCTATGGGTTTATCAGCTTACTTTTCTCCAGCTCTGTGTTCTATTTGAAACCAGCAGAGTCTGGGATGTGCCTTAATTCACCAGTATTCTGACAGCATGTAAAACAGAGTTCTGAGGCCAGGGAGAAAATTGGGCCTTCTCCCTCCCTCCCTCTGGTGGCTTGGAACTCTGAGAGAACAGGCCTTAGGTGAACAGGTCAAGTCCCCTCTGATTGATAGGCTAGGCTTTCAATAACACCATAGCATGCGGGTTTGTCAATGCCCCCTTTTATTGCCCTCTAGGGCAAAGACCAGTGCTTCCAGACCTCAGGTCCCCCTTTGTAAGGGAGCTGATGGGGATCCATTCAGTCTCTGGATTGCCCAATGAACTGAGGGCTTTGTCTTCATGCCCAGACAGATGGGAGGCTTGAGTACCACATAGTGTCTTCCTCATATAGGTCTGTCCCAAGTGCACTGGGTTGGTGCAGCTTTGTTGCTTGATTTTTGTTTTTTTTGTTTTTTTTTTTTTTGTTTTTGTTTTTGTTTTTGTTTTGAAGAGTGAATGGCTTTGGAAGCTTAAGCATGTGAAATAGAACCTAAGAAACATGAGTGGAGTGGCCCCGGCCATTTCTGCTGGTTCATCTGCCCCATGTTTGCCTTGCACTGCCGGTGTTTGCACTGAAATACTTGTAATGTTATGAATGTATTGTATTCAGATCCTGCTGGCTGATTGCCTTTCCCTTAAGAATGGCTCAGACAAGACCTTCCATGAGCTCAGTCCTTACTCTGTCTGCTTGCCCGCCTGCTCACTTTATCTTTCCATGATTCCACAGCATGTGAGGGGCTGGGTTAAACCTCCGCTTTTCATTTCCCAGTGCATGTGCACTTGTTTGTGAAGTACCTGTGCTCGGGACAAGTTGTCTGTCCCCCAATGCTTTTCAGTGTGATTAAGTAGGCAATGTTTTCCCAAACGCACATGGAGGCTATAGCAAGAGAAATAGCCAAGTCTTCTCCTCTCATTCCTTCAGCCTCAAGTCCCTGGTAGATGGATACAAGCAGTGGTCATCCAGTGCCCCTAACCTGGGGAAGGGCCCGAGGAGTAGCCCTGCCCTGCCTGGGTTTACCAGCCTTATGGAAATAGGTGAGTATAGCTTTTGTCTTGGTTTTATCCCTGTTTCCTCAGAGAATTCTTGACCGGACTTCCAGGATTGTTTAAGGATCCCTAGTAGGGTTTGTCTCATTTTTGTTTCTGACCTCTGGTTACCTACTCTGTCCCTTCTTATTGTGTCTTCCTGAACTACACTTTCCCTGTATTATAGCCATGGAGCCTATCTTTGGCTTTCTGCCCCAAGAATCCAGCAACCATCTCCCCAGGGCAGTGTGCAAGGATGAAGACTTGAACCAGACATTTCCCCTTCCCACACCTTTCCAGTTTACTCTCTGGCTATGAATGGTTCTCTAGAAACTCCCCTAGTATTCTTTTCTCTGTAGATTTCTGAGTCATAATAGACCCATCAATGGGACAGATTGCCCTTCACCCATGAAGAGGAGTCTGATTTCTTTTGCAGACCAACCTTAAGACATGTTGCTAAGCATTGTGCTAGAAATCCAAAGCCCTTCCAGTTTCAAGATTCAAAAATATTAGAAGTGTTTCTTTTATCTAGTGTTCTTGTAAGAGTACCTATGGGGCTAAAGTAGTATAGTGGACTTGCCTAGCATGTGTGAAGTTGTCCTGGCATTATACTCAAAGGAGTACCTATGAAGGAGGCTGCAAATTAGCAGACCCCCCTTTCTGCAGGTAGATGGGCTCTGGCATGCAGATGTGTTTCCCATGTCGGTCTCAGTTGAGTACAGCAGAAGACAGGCCCCGTTGGCTCCATACCCAGTTTCATGTCCTGTATGTCTGACACAGAGTCAGGAAAGCCAGGGCTGCGGGAGGAACCAGACTCTTCATTCTGAATTTCTCTGCCATTTGCTTTGTTTTCACAGAGGATGAAGATGGTGAAGGCCCAGGAAGTGGAGAGAGTCATCTACAGCATTCTCCCAACCAGTCCTACCTCTGTATCCCATTCCCTCGTGGAGAGGATGGGGATGGCCCCTCCAGTGATGGAGTTCATGAGGAGCCCACCCCAGTCAACTCCGCCACCAGTACCCCTCAGCTTACACCAACCAACAGCCTCAAGCGCAGTGGGGCCCACCACCGGCGCTGCGAACTGGCAGTGCTTGGCTGTGGAGCTGTGCTGGCAGCCACGGGCCTAGGGTTTGACTTGCTGGAAGCTGGCAAGTGCCAATTGCTTCCGCCAGAGGAGCCTGAGCCACCAGCCCGGGAAGAGAAGAAGAGGCGTGAGGGTCTTTTCCAGAGGGCCAGCCGCCCTCGTCGGAGTACCAGCCCCCCCTCCCGAAAGCTCTTCAAGAAGGAAGAGCCGATGATGTTGCTAGGAGACCCCTCTGCCTCCCTGACACTGCTCTCTCTCTCCTCCATCTCCGAATGCAACTCCACCCGCTCGCTGCTACGCTCAGACAGTGATGAGATCGTAGTGTACGAAATGCCAGTCAGTCCAGTTGAAGCTCCACCCCTCACCACGTGCACCCACAACCCTCTGGTTAATGTTCGAGTGGAGCGCTTCAAGCGAGACCCCAATCAGTCCCTGACTCCCACCCATGTCACCCTCACAGCCCCCACGCAGCCGAGTGGTCACAGGCGGACTCCTTCTGATGGGGCACTTAAGCTCCCAGGGGCCCCTCCAGCGCTATCGAGCCGGAGCCCCTCCAGCAATGGGATGAGCTCCAGTTCTGGGACAGGTGAGTTCTGGCCACTTCCTCTTTTTTTCTTTGCTTCTTTTGTGGCCCCCAGGGAATAAAGATGTTGTAGGTGGCTCCTTTCCTCTTTTGACTTCTGGATTTGGATAAGCCCAAAGAAATTTGAATTTCTTCTCTTGCTCAACCATGCAAGAGATATGATCTGGGATTGGCAGGGTGTCCAGAGCTGGCTGACTTCTTTCTGCCCTGTACCATGGGCATCTTCTCCTGATTTTGGAAGGAGACAGACTGGTTGTAGGAAGAGCCAGACGTGTTCCCGATGGCATGCCGAGACCTTGCTCTGGTGCAGGGGAGTGGGTTGAGCATCCCGGGCCAGCAGGCAAGCCCTTGTTCTCTGAAGAATATGCAGTTGAAGGGATGGAATCTCCACCACACCTAGGACGGGTGTTTTCTGCTGCATACTTGGAGCCCTGCCATTGTAGCTTTAGTTCAGACACACATGTAAGGTTAACCCACCCACCCATCAGGTTCTCCATCACTAATCCTTGAGTCACACCTGCCCCTTCATACCTGGAGACATGTCCAGTGGATGGCATTCCATGTGCACGAGATTGCCTTCCATCTGACCCCAGAGACTCCTGTGAATTCGTACTTTCAACCTAGGACTTCACCATCCCCGTTCCTTGCTCCCCAAAACACCTGAGTCTGCTGAGAAACATCCCCTAGTTCAGTGAGAGAAGCAAAGGTGGTCACACCCTCTCCGTGAGATTTCTAAGTGTGCGCATGCCACCATTTGCGACTCTTCCCCCTGTAGGCTTGTTTGTTATACTCAGGTGTGTAACCTCTTTAGGAATAAAGACAGCGTGAATCATCTATACATCTTTGCTACTTAGCTCTTTTCCTGTTGTGTGATTATTACATAGTTGAACATGGAATGATAGGCATTCCCTTAAATCAGGGTCCCCCCAACTGTTTGGGAAAGAACCAGATGGTAAATATTTTGAATTTTATAATCATCTCTCTCTCTCTTTTTTAAACTACTCACCTGTAAATGGAAAGCAGCTACCGAGTGTATATAAAATATGTCCCAGTAAAACTTTATTTACAAACGTAAGTGACCATCTTAAGAGTCCTTCCCCAACATCTGCCTTAAATCAGTTCATTATACATGTGACCCCCCCCCCCATATATTACTGTTTCTTGACCCAAGGCCACTTGGTTTTAGTTCACTACCACATCCCTAGCACCTCACAGCACACTGCATGGCACACAGTAGGTGTTCTTTGAACATTTAACTCCTTTGTCCCAGTTTGTTCCAGGGCCTCGGCATATAATAGCATGGGGAAGGTGCATATCTCACCTGGAAATACGATGCCATCATCATCTGTCTTTCCCTTTGTCTCTCTGACCAGGAATATTGAAAACTCCCAGTCCCAGCCGAGACCCAGGTGAATTCCCCCGTCTCCCTGACCCCAATGTGGTCTTTCCCCCGACTCCAAGGCGCTGGAACACACAACGGGACTCCACTTTGGAAAGACCCAAGACCCTGGAGTTTCTGCCTCGGCCGCGTCCTTCTGCCAACCGGCAGCGGCTGGACCCCTGGTGGTTTGTGTCCCCCAGCCATGCGCGCAGCGCCTCCCCGGCCAACAGCTCGAGCACAGAGACGCCCAGCAATCTGGACTCCTGCTTCACCAGCAGCAGCAGCACTGTAGAGGAGCGGCCTGGACTCCCGGCCCTGCTCCCTTTACAGGCAGGGCCACTGCCCCCCACTGAGCGGACGCTACTGGACCTGGATGCAGAGGGGCAGAGCCAGGACAGCACTGTGCCTCTGTGCAGAGCCGAACTGAACACACATGGGCCTTCCCCTTATGAGATCCAGCAGGAGTTCTGGTCTTAGTGTGAAAAGGGTCAGGGTGGGCAAGGGGGAAGCCGGAGGAGATGGAGGGAGCTGGCTGGCACAGCCCTGTCTCAGTTAGGCCCCCTGGGATCCAGACCTCCTCCTTGCACTGAGAATGCACTTTGAAGATGGAAGGGATGGACGCAGGGCCAGCCGCTTCAGGGGGCCTTCATCCCTGCAGAATCTTTTCTCCATGTTCACTGGAGAGGTTGTGTCAGCTCTGGCTGTGTAGGAGAGGGAGGGCCTGCCTCATCTCTAGGGTGACGCTGCACAGTCATTCAGCCAAATCTATCCACTGCCTCTTCTCCTCAGCCCGAGCTGTCCTGGAGTCCCTTTGTCAGCCCTGAGTTCCACTGTCCATGCGCGGGTACTAATGTCCCATGATCGATTTGACTTGTCTTCTGCTCTTGCCGTGACTTGGTGTGTCCTGTGGTATGCAGTGAATGTCTTGTGCCCTAAGCCCTCTTGTGCTAGCTATTGGGGACAGGTTGGCCTTATGAGGGCCAGAGGGCTTGACAGACCTGGCACTGCCTACCTGGGTAAATCTCGGTGAGAACAGAGTACAGGGAAGGAGGAGAGAGGAGGCAGTCAGGGGCAGCAGTCGGGTTGGGTGGAAAGGGTGCTGGAGTGACTCCTTGGTTTGGATTAGGTTTGGGTTTTAGAAACAAAGGCAGAAATCAATGCCTGTTAAATGGCTTCATCTAACCCCTTGGGTTTAGGCCACGGCCACACCAGGTTTGATTCTAAGCATATTCTTCTCAGGAATAGCTGTTTAGGAGACGTACTCACTGATGCCAAGTATGCAGTCAGACACAGCACCTGTCTTTTTGGACTCTGTCCTTTCCCCCAGTTCCTGGAATCAGTGGCTTTTAGGGCATATGTGATTCGCAGACATACCTGAAGTGTGTCAGGGTAACATATAGGGATGGGTGCTGGACCTTAGGGTGTGGAGCTGCGGGGATTTCTTCATGGGACTTGTGCATCTTATGATGCTCTTGCAGTAAGTGGAACCCTTAGTGATAACCTTTGGGTATATGGAGGCAGTAACCTGACACAGTTCTTCAGGTGCTCAATGGTCCGTTGAAGGGCACTGATGGAGGCTACCCCTATCTCAGTGCACAGACAGCCCTGCACTGTGAGCTGGACAGAAGACCAGCCAGAGAGGCTAGTGCTGCCCTGGTTAGTGTTTGTTTCTTGAACTTGAATACTGAGCTTCATCTAAAGCTTTCTCACATATTTTCTTCACTGTCCACATCCTCTGAGCCCATGTTGGATGTGCACCATGGCCTTTATGTGACAGTCCCCAGTGGTGTTGGAGTCAGTCTGCATGCTTCCTGTATTTGCTGTCTGGATGCCCAGAGGGGTTAGAGTGGTGCATATTGTACAGCTGACACATTTCATCACTGCTGTTTCTCTAACTGATAGAAATCCTGCCCTGGGAAGCACTTCAGAGATGACCTTGGTTTCCACAGTTCTTTATGAGCCCATTCTCCCTTTGGCTTGACCCTGCAGCCCCCTAGATTTGGACAGGAAAGTGGAGCTGGAGGTGCCAGCCAGGGTTTTGCTGTAGTGTCTCGTCTTTCCTCTTGGTACTGTGAAATGAGATTAGAAGCAATTACTTTTGTCCCCATACTCGGACTCCTCGGATCGGAGACAAGAGCTTCTGAGCCCTCTCCATAGTCCCAGCCAACCTAGTGATGATGCTTCATTCTTGAGGACTAGATAGTCTGTTGTGGCACCCCCCCCCCCCGGGTTCCTAAGCCACAAACACATCTGTACACCTCGGCTGCACCAAGTCTTTGGGCTAGGCTGCAGCTGGCTCCAGCCCCAGGCAGAGACTTCTCCTGTCCGTGTTTGATTGTGACCATCTTTCCGGGAAGATGTGGTGTTACAGATGCTATGTGCACCTTGTGACAACGACCTGCCATTGAGTGGCAGGTGTAATCTGGTTGTTTTGTCCACCCAGCATTTAGAGAGAGGAGGGCCTTGATAAAGAAGTGATTGTACCTGAGAGAAGAGAAAGCCGGGCTGTGAGCATGTATTGAGTTGGGGGGAAAGGGGGTTCCTGTTTGACTCCTCCAAACCTGTGTGGTACTGGGCCACTGCCGCACTTCCGTGTGAGCCTGGAGTTGGGCTAAATGCTAAGGAAGTCACAGTTTGTGTGACTTAGGTTCCCTCCATCTGTGGTCATGCATGGTTAGGAACAGGCCTGGTAGCTGTGAATAAACCCAGTTGAGTGACAGTAGCCATCTTCTCCCCTTACTTTCACTACCCTTTCCTCAAGACTGGCCTTCTGCTTAGTGCCAGTGTTCCTTATCTTGGAGCTGCTAACAGGGTCGGGAACTGTTCTTTGCTGTGACTACTCAGGTCTTCAGTTCCCAGCATTTATGCTTGCGGAATTCCTACAGCTAGGAACTGAATAGATGCCTCCATCTTCCTTATGGCTATTTCTAGAAGCTGTGGTGGATGTTCTTAACATGGTGTTCTTTGACATCCCTGTCATTTGGTAGGCATTGTAACAATAGCATGCATTTGGACAACTTGGAGTAGGGCTAACTTTTCCTTCTGACCTTTCCAGAATGACATCATTTTCCTTCATGTTCGATACACTTGTCTCAAAGACAGGCAGGCAGGCAGATAGACAGACGCTGTTTGGATGATTGAGTCTGGCTACCAGGCTTTGAGACAGCACAAGTTGGTCCTATTCCTCTATTCTGCTTTTCTTGCATGACTTGAGTCCTGTGTCTTGACCCCTCTCAGGTTTCCTTGTAAAAACCTTCAGCATATACTTCCCTTTTGAGGTCAGTGAAGTGCTGTGGCTCCCTGCCAGCTCGAGGGGCAGCTTCTTCCCTTGCAGGATGAATGAATATGCTGAAGCTGACAGTGTGGTTCTCAGACCTTCGCCTCAGGGCTTGTGGTGGCCTTAGTTTTATCCTTCTGGGAGAAGAGTGATGGCTTAACATAACTAGTGGGCACCCGGCCAGGCACAGGCTCTCCTACCACACTTTGTAGCCCAGGTGACAACAGCATCATTTATTTTCTAATTCCCTCCCCCACTTAACCTGGCCAGCTGGGTGTGTCCTTACCATTTGTGTTTTGTTGAGGAAACTGGAGCTTGGGGACAGCGTCTGAGTGGCAGTTTGCTGTCCCTGCTTTCTTAGGATCATCCGTAAGGTAGGATTTGATAAGACTCTAAAATCAGGCCAATTCTGGAAAAATCTTTGGGAAAGGGGCCTCTAGCCCATGGGACATCATTGCCAAAGTGTGGTGCCCCTCACAAAGCCCCTTTACCCTCAGGGTGTTTGTTGCTCAGGGACACAAGACATTGCCAGCTGTCTAGACCCAACCCTTACTTCGTGTCTTTGCCTTCACTGGCCCCACGTTGTACATGTTTCTTCCCCCATCAGAAGGGCCACCCACCCATACCCACACCCATGGCTGAGCTTCCCACGTGCTAGGCAGTGGGCCCTGGGTGGCTGTGAGTGGACATCTCAGGCTATAAGTGTCCATCTGTCCAGTGGTACCTCACTATGGATGCAGAACCCTGACCTTTTTTGATCACGTGTTTATTTGATCATGTGCCTTTGGGTTGATGTGTGAAGAATGGCACGATCTGACGGGTCAGAAGCACACATCTCATTGCCTCTAGGAGGCCTGGGAAGAGAGGCAGGCCCTACTTGTCGGTAAAACACTAGACTTTCTCTTGGAGCTTCCAGTGCAGACTGGATTCAGGAGCAGTGGCCCTCAGGGAGTTATGGGTTGCAAGAACCTGGTGACTTAAGATGTCTGCTTTCGAGTTGTAAATTTGCCACTATCTGGCCCTCAGAAGCCCCCCTGTGAGCTGGGGCTGATGCTCACATTTCCTATTTAAAACCTTTCTAACTTTAAAAGCTACCATCTTAGCTAGGTTCAGTGATACATTTTTGGAAATCTAACTACTCGGGAGACCGAAGCAGGACAGTTACTGCAGTCCCAGATGGGACAACATAGGAAGACCCTTTCTCTTCAGTGTGTAGTGCCAGAGCCCCAATACAGATTGCGCCACCACACAAGGTTGTTTCCCTTGGTGGAGAACAGTGTGAATATATGGATGATTGGAGGTCAAAGGCCAGTACTGGCATTGCTTATGGCTCAGTCATGAGTCACTCGTCATTGTCCTCTGCTTGACCTGAGGATAACTTCTTGTCAAGATGCAGTTGTTGTTGGGAACACATTTCCAGATGGCAAAGCATTATTTTCCTAGTCATAAATTATAATAAAATCCACACATAAGAGGAGAAATGTCCTTTTAAAACTCTGGACTCTTCCTGGTGTTGCCGTTTGAAGGCTCAACATCGCTGGTACTGAGTTGAAGGGCAGGAACCAGGAGTGGGAACCTTATTTGATTCAGGCTATTAGTGCAGGTCTAACTCATCTAACCCAGACCCTGGTTCCTGGTTGGCTCTGCAGACCAGGTGAGTTTCTTTTACTGTTTCACGAACTGTTTCATGGTATTTTCATTGACTGCCTCCTCTGGCCATGGACTCTGGGGGCACCCTGGCCTCCCTAAGCTGCTGGGGAGGCCCTAGGCTGCCTTCTCAGGGTTCCAGCTTCTCCTGAACCCTGCCCTGGGACTGACTGCCCCTTCCCGCTTTCTCACTGCCTTGGCCCCTGCCTTCCCTTGAGTCTCGTGTTGGAAAGAGAAGATCCCGGGGACTGAAGGAAGATGTCTGAGCAGGGAGCTCCAAGCTGCTCTAGTTTCCTTCCCCCACTCCCCTTCTAATTGCTCTGCCACGCCCTTTGATTGTCAGGTGTGAACATGAGAACTAGGTGGGAAATTCTAATACAAATAAGTACAGTGTTCAAAGACCAACCTTTCTTTCTGGGACAGGACAGGTGGATGCCCTACTCAGAGGTCAGGATGGCTGTAAGGGAAGCCCTAACACTGAAGACACCAGGGAAGTGATATGTGGAAACTCAAGACCAGGTTTCAAGAGTCCCATGTTACCCTCATTCCTAAAACCCTTCACACCTTGCTGCCTGCACAGGCGGCCATAAGGCGGAGTGCTGACCACGCCATGAATAGTTTTATTAATTTTGGCATTAGAAAATTATGTTGAAGCATGGTTTAGCCTTTGATTGCTGATTTTTATTTTTGACACCCCCCCGAAACTTGTATCCAACATAAGTGCCTCACTCACCTCAACCCGGTATGGGCCCTGCCCGCCTGTTTCCTCGATCTCCAGATAGGGCTGTGGCATTTGACCTAGGTTTTATGTTGTATTCTCGTTACCACTCCACACAGCACATTCAGTGTCACCCTCCCTCCCCCGGGAGCATTTGCATTCAAATACAGTGGTGAGGCACCTGGTTCTTACTGTTGGCTCTGCAGCTGGGGTGACTTCTCCTTCGTGTTCTCTGGTTGCCTTTCAGGCTCTTGGAAGCCACTTTCTTAGATGTTCGTGTGTCCAGGAGAAGGGAAGTGATCGTGTAGAGAGAAGCCTGCACATTCTTAACTTGCACTTCTCTGGGAATTCTAGACGTGAATAGACCTCTTTCATCCAAGACATCAGAAGGAAGTGAATGGA